CATCATCATCATCATCATTATCACCAACATTATCACTATCTACTTCAACATCTTCGCTATCATCATTCTTAAAATCGTGAGTAACATCAACATATACCCACAATTGCCAACCTTCAAATAATACTTTCCATTTTCCTTAAAATCTATAAGATATACAGCGAGYATTTTCTAATGTCGATTCTCTGACTGTCTTACCTCCAGCACATGTAGTACTGCAGTCACCACTCAACACTGTCTTCCAGATAAATGCCGTATCAGGGGCTTGTCCTGGCTCGTAAAATGAATAAGTATAGCCTACATTGGCGGAACCAACAAAAACGAACTGAAACAACAACAACAACAACAAAAAGAGTTACTAGAAAGAAAATGTATCTGTGAAACTTTGAAAGTACACAAAAAATGCCATTATTCAGTTAAACGAGGGATTCTTTACRAATCTCTACAGCATGCATGATAACGATATAGGAAAAATCATAATTTGGTATGAGCTTTAAGGAACCGGATACCGGTTGGATGCTTCAAGCACTGATAGACTCAGTGGCTAGATCATCCGACCAGTATYCGGAAGGTCATGGCTCGATTCCTATCAGGGACTCTGATATATAGTGACAAATKATAAATTATTCCTATACTTATTTACTTACCATGGGAACTAAAGGAACCGTGTTCGGTCCCTTGAAGAACATCGACTCGGCATGATTCAGATCGCTGTTCGAGATRTCATAAAACACAGTTGTACCAGCTACTGATCTGGATGAGTTGGTAGGGCGTTGATAAAATATCAGGTTATTTTTTTCCGGTGGATATACCTTGAGATCTGGAATATGCAATTAAAATGATGAAAAGCTAAGGGAGAGCTGTAAGGGGAAATATGTGTAAAAAAAAAAAAAAAAAAGGAAAGCGAACAAACTGGAAGAAAGGGAAAATGAGAGAAAGGAGGGAAATGAAGGCAAGGGAAGGGAAGAGAGGTAGTTAATAAAGGTAAAATGAAGGTAATTTCTTTACTTTGACACTCCACAAAGTTAGATTGCCAAATTCTCCTGAGCCAGGAATTCGTGTTAAAGCGTTCGAAGGTGCACCCTTCACTATGTAAAACTATTTTTGCTCCTTACCACTGGTATTTGAAGCTA